TGACTTACGGGACGCTTCCATTCATTTCCAAACTGTTGCATGTCCTGATAGCGTTTCTCGAAAATAGGCTTTAACTTCTTTGTCAAAAGGTCCTTATGCTTTTGCGGTGAATTGTCTCCAAATTTAAAGACTAATCTGAATAAAGTGTGCATTGGATATTATATTAATTAATTCAATCTATTGGACAAATGCCAGTCAGAAATCTCGAAACACATTGTATTTAACACCAACTAATTATCGCATCACGTACTTGATGTATTCCGTTTGGAGACGAGGATGAATGAAGTACGCGATTGAAGAAAGTTTTCTGACTCGTGTTAGAGTAGTAGCAAATGTCGCAAACATGTTTACGATCTCGTCATCCTTGCACAGTTCCTAAAAGACAAAAAGGTATCAATATGCGATTTAATCTGACACAATACGTATCGCGCACTTCATGACAAATATAATATCCCTACTTCGCCAACGAAGAGATTTGCCATTGCCCGTGCGATAATGATTGTTGAAATTTCGCCAAAGTTGTTAATCAACCTGGGTTCCTCACAGTCACCAATTAACTGATCGATACCATGTTGTAATTCACGATAGATACGCGAATAACAATCGTCAACATGCTTGTAAAACCTATCCTTGAGTAACATGGTTGCATGGTCAAAATAATTGGGGTATGCATTTGCTCCGATAATGTCACCAAGCGGGAATCTCTGACAAACATAAACATAGCGTCAATTATTATGACAACGATGGTGATGGTGGAGGAGCAAAAAAGACAGCAGTTCAAGCAACTTACCAGCTCAAACCCCTCCTTGAAACTGAAATTAGTTGATCTAAACATCTCGTATGCTAAGTCATTACTGACGATAGTATATATTCCACGAAATAAGTACAATGAAAACATGTCTCCATACTAAAAAATCAATGGAGTCAGAATACCATGTATTAAACGAGAATAGCATGACCCTTATCGTAGCTAAAATACCTGTTTGTGGCATCTTTTCAGAAGGCCTTCGGGGTCTCGCAGATACTCAAGAGTATGGCCTATTAACGGATACTTGTAAGGTACTAGAGGAGGTTCATTCTATTCGATTGAAAGTCAAGTAAAATGTTGCATCGCCGAAAGATATTAGCATGTATACGCCACTTTTACTCACAAGCTTCGGACGACGATTCCAATAAACGAATATGGCAAGGAATGCACCAAGGCACAGTACGAATACTTCAAGATCGTAGGGTGAGGATAGCTCTGGTAATAACGAAGAGAACATCAAGTAATCGTTACAATGTTAGTCTCAGATCTGCAATACAGTGTTACAAAAAAATTGGCCAACCATAGCAATATTAATATGGGGAATGATCTATGAAAATGGGGTAGTTGGTGATTTGGGGTACAAATTTAGTATTTCTATCCTGTGCCTTTTTTCTGACCTCAAGTGTAATACTGTAGTAAAGTTTTTCGCAACAGTTCGGTAGCACATCAAAAGAATCCTAAATCTGTACCCTAAAATCCTTGCCGATAATCATAACAATAATAAGGTCGCTCAGATTTTGGGGGGATATGTAAAATGGGGATGATTACCATAAAAACGGCCCAATTTCTTTGAAGATGATTTAATCTGGCTGAATATGGTCTGAATATATCCTTATATAATGGATTTTATCTCAATAAAACTATGTTTTAGCTTCTCGACAAGCTCTTCCAAATTAGAATTAAATCATATAATTGCAGTATTCTGTTACAAGTGAATGTCTTTGATATAAATATATGCCAAGCCCATTTATAACTAAGAACGATGTTACTTGTACTTTGTTCATTAAATTTATGAATAAAGTCCTCCAAACCGTTAATAGCTCTTAAATAACTGCCAGTTTTCTCTCAAACATGTTTATGTTTTCCAAATTTTTATTGCTTCACCAGCATTAACTATTGGTATTTCGTTACCATAAACCTATAACAATAATAATGTTACTGTACACGTCCAATAATGGACGTACACAGTGAAATTGAAATCTCATTTGAACGAAAATGGCTTATAACGAAGTATTTTTCTGGAACCAGAACGCTCTTAACAAAATAATTTCGGATAAGCGTATAACGCTGAACGAAGTTTTTCATAAAACCATGTATTATTGAATTGGCAATTTATTTGTAACGAAGTTCATTATACAATAGAATCATCGATCTATCATCAATAAACGTCCTTTTTCAATAAAAACTGTAAAGCATTTCTCTTATAATACGCTTGCTCCCTATCAAATAAGATCGAAGATGCTGGAATCAACTTCCACACTAAAGATAATGAAACGTCCATGTCAAAAAAACCACGAACACTTACAACACTTACAATTGCTCAAAAAAAGAAGCAGTGTCAAAAAGTTATCCGCGTTTAAAAAAATTGAATTACCGAAGTATTGGGGAATCTATTGTTAGTGAATTTTGAAAACAAAAGACATTTGAGGATGACTCACCTCGAAAACAAGAACGTAAAAGTTATTTTCCTCAAGATAGAATCACTTTTAATGGAAGAATTAGCTGGGTTAATGGTTATTAAGAACTTTTTAGCTTCAGATTTAAATTTCGACAGCGAAATGTGTAGACAAATCAGAGCTTCCACAGCAGTGCATTTGCATTGAACTTCAAGTAATTTTTTTACAGTATAACCTAAGCGACATAGACAACTGTGACAAACAGTTCTTTTTGGAAAGCCCAACCAATCATGCTCTAGCTTATAGTCACATGTAATGCAACCGGAGACGTTATTATATTCATGCCTCGCTGTCCAAAAGCTAGCCTTCCAGTTTGGTATAACCGGAATAATAAGACTTGGAATCTTTGGACGTTACCTCTGTTAGAGACAATAATGAGACGTGCTAATCGTCAGATTTTGTTGCTTGCTGACAATGCAACATTACATAAACCCGAAGAAGTAATCAATACACTAACTAATATCAAGCTTCACTTCTTACAACCCCAGCTTTACAACCGCTTGATCAAGGCATTATATATAGCTTAAAAGTAAATAAGTTATCTTGTCGTTTTTTCTTTAACGCGCGGTTTCCAATTCCTTTTAATTAGGCATCTTACAAGCACTGCTGTGTGAGAATCAAATTGAGGAATATGATGCATTACGTTGTGATGCGCCGCAATCTATGACGTATTCTCTCCTTTATTTCTGCGTTCCTCCGACGGTGCCGCAGTCAGCGGTAACCCATCGCAACTGCGGATTTCGGAAGTAGGGTACAAACGTTGCGGGATACAAGCACTGTTGCGAACATTTCAATACTAATATAGTGATACGAAAAGTAGTATAGCACTAGTTCGTCACTATTTAGTCACTAGTGCAAAAACAGTGCAGAAACGCTTCCATACAATCCAAACGTATACTAAAGAGCAATCGATAGAATATCATAATTAGCTGCTAAAAATAGCTCAATTAGACCGATCGAAAGATATATAAGCAGTATGAGTTTCAGCTAGAGTCGGTGTGTTTCGCAAGATCTTTATATGCTTTATAATTCATATTTTATTGTTAATAAACGAGTATCGCATTTACTCTGAACCTATATTATTGACCCTATTCTCTCAATTAGTTGATATATTTGAGAAACCGTCATATCGATAATTGCCTCTCGTACCGCAATTATCTGAGTGGCGAATTAAGATATTTAATCGTTAGTTTTGGAACGCGTTCATGAAACCATTGTCCCCCAGAATAATTCCTCGATGATACACTCGAGAGCGATTACATATCTAGGATTAACGTCATTCTACGGTGAAATCGGAAAGCCCTGAATTAACGAGGTCACTAACTGTACCCTAGACATTTAACTAGAAGGAGGAGGTGCCACGCTCCGTCGATACTAGCTAAATCCCAAGTGTCGATTACTATCTGCTCTCCCGCAGTAGTCGGCACGACAACGTCCTCATATGGGAATTCACTGTGGAAACATTTATATCGTCTCAACAATTACAATTACAATTCTTAATGCCATTAAGCTAAATATTCGATGGTCGATCATGGGTTTGTGGCGGCGATTACCAATTTTGGTAATTAAGGCTCCGGCAAAACTATTCACCATTATAATTCTTTAACGGATTGTGACAACTTACAATATTTTCGTCCTCTCCTAAAAATGTTTGTGGCTGGGGCTTGGAATCGGGTAAAACAATTGGTGGTCTATATGATAATCATAATCAGCACTAAACAATTGTCATGGGAGAAGAGTGGAATTTTGCCACAAATGATGCAGTCGCCATATTTGATGACAAAAGCCGAAGAGAATCTCGATTCTGAAGTAGTCAATATAGTAGCACAGCTATCATTGGAACAACCCACAATATTTGGAGGAAGAACTTTATTAAGTCACTGATTATGTTAAAGAACAAGACCCACATTATGAGAGAAATTGTAGTAACTATTCGTGGAGCAACTAGAGAAAGTGAGAAAGGTATCATCGGCAGGCATACATGTATGCTCATCACGTAACTGGTAAAAATTATACACAAGTCAATATTATCTAATACGAAACTAGATTAAGAAACCTGCTGCGAAGCTACACAGCCTTGCTAAATCTTAAATATTTTAATAAGCTATTATCTCGACCAAAATGACAGTACGTACTCCATATAACCTCCAGCAAACTTGGTATAGTTTTAAAAGTACTTTGTCAAATGTACAGCTTATAATACTTATGCATAACGGTATTTTGTTAACTGATATAAAGTTCTCTTTTGGATATGACTGTGTTGGCTGGGAGGTATTGAAATGGCAAATTGTATTATCAGTACTAAGACAATGTTTAATAGTAAATTCATTATACAGTCGAACCTCTATAAAAGAACACAGTTGGGACAGCCAAATTATGTTCTCAGATCTGTCCCCTTGATAAAATGTTCTTTTATGGAGGTTCGACTGCAGTTCATAAGTTTCACTGAGCGAGATTAACCATGATGTAGCAAACTTGACTAAAAGCTATCATTTCGTGCAGTGGATACATTTCATAAAAATTGATTTTGACTATTACAAGAAATAGCCATCAATAGTTATTAGATGACAATATGTGATAAAAGAGAAACCATTATTTGGTACGAGTTCGTAGAGTACAAATCTGCAGAGACTTGCCGGTTTGAGTTACATAATAGTCTACACACCGGAGTGTCTTCGTTATTTAACAGTGCGTTATATGTTCAATAGTTCGTACTTTCATTGATATTCGAAGACTGTTCATATAGCGAAGATTTATCATGCAAGTATATAATTGGGAAGAGTCACGCTGTTGGGAATACTTAGTATACATGGCGAATGTAAAAATATATTACCATGGTCATGTGGTAATAGATATATAAAGTTATAGACCTACTATACCAGACAGTTCGTGAGTCAACGTTCTTAAATTAACGGAGTCGTCATAATTAAGCTCATTATACGTTCGATTGTGGTAAGAAAATATGAATTTATTAAAAAAAAGGAAAGAAAAGAAAAAGTAACAGGAAAATGTCTTATCTATCTGTATAAAGAGTTAAGTCCAAAAAAATCCAAAAATAAGGTATGAAAATAATCACTATAATCGGAAATAAAAGAGTAGGAAAAACTACCTTTTTTCGGAAAGCTATTGTTAAAATGTATAGCACATAACAAATGTTTAAACAATAATTAATACATTGAAAAAATGTTCGATCGTACTTTTCACTAGTTAACTTCCGAGAGACTAAATCTCGTAGGGTTGTTCCCTGGATTTAGTCGTGTTGTTGTTTTGTTTGATTCGATAGATGCAGCCAAATGTCGTTCGATACGTCTTCATTGGGATTGATGTCCTCAATTGCATGGAGCTGCTTTTTGTCCTGATAAGGATACTTTGATGCGAAATTTGCAGAACGTGAATTTGATCGTTCAGGTGGGGGTTTATATATTCTGATATATAGCGCTTGTCCGGTTAATTAAATTTTGAGACATTTGTTAATAATTTGTATACTTTTCTTTCTTATTGATGTCTTTCATTGACAGATTGATAGGTTTACTATCGGCATAAACGATTTGTTGGTAAATGCGATTGATCAATGGACGTGGGCTTTCAATTCGAATTGTGTGTGTGGTGAGATATTGGAGGCTAAGTTTTTCTAATTTTGGTGTTGACTGATTATGTGTTTTCTTGGTGACTTACGTTTTGAGAGCACGCCTTTCCGAACAGTTAGTGTATAATACTGGTATACACGTGCCATGATATTTTAAGTCTAGTGTGTTGAACAGCAAACCAAACCCCGATTATT